TATGACACAGTCAGCAGAGGAGCAGACATCAAGCTTCACTTTACAAGCACCAAGAGAGTTGCCTTTAGGGTAGAGGTTCTTTGCCATCTTTCTGCTTTAATTTCCAGCCAATTCATCATCTGAGTGGCCAAAGAAAGAGGGAGGGTCTCCAGCTTATCCACCAAAAAAGTATCTAGCATTTATAATTCTCATCTTTCAACAGTTTGGGCACTAGATTCCAAGAAGGAATCCAAGTTCGTGTCTCTAGGGCAACAAATCCCTTAAAGAATCAACTATGATCCTGCTGCCTAACCCCTTAATAATAGGAACACAAACTGCATTTTCACCCATCTTATTCTCTTAGGTATTTTCAGGATAAACTATCACAAATTGACACTAATATGTTAATGTACTGCTCCTTCCTTGTGAGGTATTTTCATTTCAGCAAGGAACCTTCAGATATACAGCTTGACCCCAAAAAAGCAAATCTGGCAACACTATTGCACACTCTTAAGGGAGATGATTTATGTGCTCTTCAAATCACTTGCCAAGTCAGTGGCTGCCAACTTTGCCCACATGAAAGACCTGGTCAAATTCAGTTATATACCAAACAGCCATGTTTTTATCAAGCTCTTTCTATTGTTTTTAAAGTCATCATGCAGTTATTTCTGAAATCAAACAGTATGGGGCAATATTGATACCAAAGCCAGAAGCTGAATAATGCTTCTGTTGTTTAGCAGGTCACAGTGTTCTGAGCCTTCCATCACTGGCCAGGGCTCCTATTCTCCCAGACAACCATGTGAGCAGCCAAAAACTTGGTAACTGACAGCCTCATGTTGACCTTTACACCTCCAAACAAAAGATCGCTTATGAGATGCTCATATAAGTGACTTATATTAAATTGAGATCTATCTTTTGCTAGAAAGCAAATTGGAACCAAGCCATTCATTTCAGCTCCTGACCCTCAGTGCTTTCTTCATATAGGATTTTTGAGAAGTGTCTTATTCCTTTGTATTAAGCTTTGTATTTTAAAGATGTGTGTTTGGGACATGGCCCTTTACCTAGGTTAAAAATAAGACGGATCCTTTTCTATCAGGAACCAGTCTTCAGAATCCTCACTAACAAGCAGTGTTCAAGGATGCTCACTAAACATGATCCAAGTTTCAGGGGAATAGAGAAGCACCTAAAAACTTGGATTGGCCTTCCCTTCTTCATGCCCTTTCCTGGAACTGATGGGGCAACTTACCAATTCCTCATCACATTACATGCTTCATTCCTAAGTGGTAGCAGATTTCCCACCTCATTAATAAGTCATGACTAAGCTGCCCTCACCACTTATCCCCAGCACCCCTGTAGAGGTCTGGCAGAGGTGTATTTCATGCTAGTTTTGTCAAACAGAGTGGGAAAATTCTCTTTCTCTGGAATTAGATAAAGCATTTGACATCCAGAACTCAAAGTCTACTGCAGAATACAGAGCTCCTCCTCTTCCATTTGTGGTAATCGGCATCTATACAATCTCCCTAGCACCCTATTCTTCAACTATAGCCCAGAGCCAAAAGAAGCTTACAGAATTCTTCTCCCATCAAACTCCTCAAAAGACTAATTGTAGATAAGCAATTGAGCAATTGCTTTGCCTGTTTAAACTGATTAATACATATATGTTTTGGATATGACCAGGTCTGAAACACTTAGTGGGTCTTTATTGAATGGGACTGGATAGTTGAACTGGACAAAGGGGCAAGTAGATCTGTGGACTTTCCATCTGCAAGTGGTATGATCTGAGTGTAAGTGGTAAGAGAGGGTGGATTCACTATAGGTGAGGAAGAGGCCAAGTCATCGGGCCATTTGGTCAGTGTGAAGGGAGGCACCAATGCTATAGTTTGATTGTAGCAGTTACCCGACTGGAGCCTGTAAAAGGGGCACCTCCCCAGGGAGGCAACAGGGATGAATGATGGCCTCTCCCAAGAAGCTCTTCCCTCAAAGCCACTAACTAGATAGACCAGTGTAGACTAAAGCTTCTGCTGGAGTAATTCCTTTTTCTTAGGGTCTATCATTTGTTTTTTGTCATTAATTCATGTGATTTGGGGTTTTGGTTCTACTTTGTTATGTTTTCTTATGTGTTTTGGTTTATTGCTTTTTATAATTCTCTTAGTTTATGTTCAGAGATGAAAATGGATGTTCTATGTGAAAGCTGAGTTCCTTGTTTCTTTCTTTTGCCCTTGGCTGACTGCATGCTCTCTATTGATGTCTTGTTCCTGGTTCTTGACACTGACCATCTTGTCTGTGAAAGGAGGCACTCCAGCGGGCTTGCTTGATCAGAAGAAAGGGAAGTTTGCTTGGTTTAGTCACTCCACAGAAACCCATGGTAATGTTCCCCTGTGCTTTTTGTATGTAAATGTGCATTGGTACATACCAGACTGGATGGGAGGGCATTTTTCTCAATGGCTTGTGATGCAGTGGTCATCAATGTGTGTGTGTGTGTGTGTGTGTGTGTGTGTGTGTGTGTCTATAAGGGATGGTAATTTGTCTGCCTCAAAGCCACTATCTTATCATCTCTTCGTATGTATGAAGTCAGCAGACATGACAATCAGCAGCAGCTGTTATTCCTTGAGGGAACCCTTCCTTTGGATAGTGCCAACCAAGATTAAGGTCACTGTAGATGCCACCTTGGTACTGATACAGGCAGTTCCTTTATTTAGAAGATGATATAGTTCTTCTAAAGCCCAGGCCCACCCATTCTTAATTTGGTTGTCTTTCTAAGCTTAGTACCACCACCATCATACCACTCCATTAAAACATAAGGGGCTCTCTGGGAGCAAAGTGTCACAAAGTCAGAGCTCTTTAATTTTGTTTTTTAAATATTTATTTGTTTGTTTATTTGTGGTGTAGCGGAGAGCAGAGAGAAGGGGGAGAATTCCAGGCAGACTCTGCACTGAGCACAGAGCCCAATGCTGGGCTCAATCTCACAACCCTGAGATCATGACCTGAGCCAAAACCAAGAGTTGGATGCTTAACTGACTGAGCCATTCAGATGCCCCAGAGCTCTTTAACTTTAAACAATGTTGCCTGAAGAGTTAAAGTAACCTTAGGTCAGAGATGGCCAGAGACAGATGGATTGAAAGACTGAAGACTCTTCAACTGTATAACTTCCTCCTTAGTGTGGGTGGAGCAAGGAATCTGGCAAGCTCTGAAGGTGCTGTCTTCCCAACTCCCAGTGCTAAAAGCATCCCTAGGGTCTAGGCTCACACACCAACTCCCTCAGACCTCGGGCTATAAATGGAGTGTAAATGCTATGAAACTCAACACCACCATTTGGCTATTCACCATGCTCCTATGATTATTCCAGAGCCTCATCTCTGGATTTGGCTATAGAAACCTCATCTTATCTTAAGGTAGAGTAGAGAACTAGTCAACAGAGGGCCAATCAAGATGACCATGGTGCAGGGGGTCATGACATTTGTGCTCCCAACCAAGTCCTACCCCAAATACGCTGTGTGAACTTCCCTTCCTTAAACCTCACTTTCCTATAAACTGAAGGGAACATTTAGAGCTGGGTAATATCTAAAGTCTCATCCAGTGCCTACCTTATTTGAAATGGCATCTAGATTTCTTTTTATCCAACTGTATTAAAAAGGAGTCCTAGGGTAGAGAGGTCTCTCATACATCACAGTCAAACATATGGTAAGTCATGGGCTTTCTATTTGGATCTTGCATGTTTCTGAAATGAGTCTCTTCTCACCCACCCATCTTGTCTTCACCCAGAAGAAAATAACCTTGGAAAATTTCCATCCAATAACATTACCCATATAACCACTAAAAGTTTTTCCTGGGCTAGGGGACTCATACATGGTGTTGTATCACCTGATGCCACACCCTCATTAACTGCAGATTCTGTGGCTGTAGAGGATTAGTGATTTTCTCATCATTCAAGGAGTTCTGTTCTTCAAGGAGAATGGAACCAGGACCAATGCTATAATGGCCGCTCTGAAGAACAAGGGTTACCAAAAATAAAACTCATTGTTGTGCCATATTAAAAGGGTAAGAGAAGGTGAAGAGGAAGAGCTCTCTTAAGTGAAACTTCCATTTACATTTTTTAAATAATAATAAAATAATGTTTCTCTAAGCCACTACATCGGGTTCCAAGCTAGAAAATTCCTGCCACCATGGAAATGCAGCCCATTGCTGCCTTGGGGAGGGAGTAGAGATTGACCAGACAGATCGGCACCCGTGGAATTAGATGGTTTATATCCCCAGTCAGCCTGCTGGGGTAGGAACATCAGGATTGCTGGAAGGGGAAGTGACATCTCAGTCTACCTGCAGTCTATTTTCAAATCACATTTAAACTTAATTGGTGGATTCCACAGTTATGCTCCTCATTCCTGGTGTCTGCAGTGCGACTTTGAATCTTAGTACCCGATTCTGGTAATAGTCATCTATTTCAAGCTCCTTATTTCAGATAGCATCCTAGATGGAACCAACTTAGGACCCAGTGTGTACTACAAGAAAGGGGGCAGTCTTCCACATCCATCTAGGACTTCATGAGGCAACAAAAACATCCTTCCTACAAACAAGCTGGACCCCAAGTTTGGGGATGAAACCTCTTAGAATTGGTGGGTGGAGAAAAAAGCAAAATAAAATACCTTCATGAAAGCTTCTCTTTTTATGGCTAGTAGCAGACGCAAATGGAAAAGCTTGCACAGCTTTTCTGAGGGCACAGAGATGAGGGTAAGAAAGGATTCAATGGTCAGTATTTTCAGGAAGTAAGCTCCATTAGTAAACTCACCCTAGACAAGCAGCAGGCATGACGGTCAAGGAAATCCCCAAACTTGGCCATGGCAGTGCCAGTGCCCCAACCTACTCACAGCAGTACTGCTGCCCCCCACTAACAGAAGCTGCTAAGCCTCTCCTCCTCCTAAGCAGCACACAGTCTTGGGACTGGGTGTTTTGAAAACTAATGTTCTTCTCTCCCCTTTTCCTCCCCACCCTCAATGCCTTGTTCTGCATCCCTTTGACTCTTGTAGTGAGCATGCCCACAAGCGAGACCGAGTCTGTCAACACCGAAAACGTGGCTGGAGGTGACATCGAGGGAGAGAACTGCGGGGCCAGACTGGCGTGAGTAGGCACAGAGAGCCCAGGGAATGGGGCTTTTCCAGGGGTGCGGGCCAGGATGATGTGTCTTGAAGTCAGAGTAGGTTGGCCCATCATGAGTGTGGCAGAGGTCAGAGAAACAGAAAGCTCAAGCAGTGACTTGTGTGGGAAAAGAGGGCCCTGGATTGAGTATAGCTCGTAAGCAAGGGGAGGAGTCTTAACACTGAGACCAGTCTCCAGTTCTGTACTCCAGTGAGGGTCTGACTCAGGATTTTGAACCCTTGTCCATTACATCAGAGAAAGACAGGACAGGGGTAGGGGACAGAGAGGGGAGGTTGGGAGTGGCTCCAAAGTCTGTTTCTTCCCAGCCCATCTCACCCACTGTTACATGAGGCACCTTTGTGAGGGTCCCTGGGTCCTGCTAACCACCTTTTCCATTCTGGTAAATGTGACCTGAAGAAGAATAAACAGGTAAGAAAATACCTTGGGATATAATCAACATGTTCTTATCTGCAACTCTAGTTACCCACCTAGTGAAGGGAAACAGAGATGCCTCAGGAGCAAATTGAGTCAATTCAAAATTCACCTGTGCTTAGTCTGGAACATGGCCAACCTCCTCCAAAAGAAGCTCCAGCCTAGATGCCCACAGCTTCTCTTCCCCTGGGCCAGACCCCAGGCCTCAGGCTTCAGGGACCTGACTGGCCCAGGACTGAGCCACATGCACAGAGGAACAGTTCACATTTGGACTATCACAATCACCCATTTTTTATCTTAAAAAATGAAACCAGTCGTCCCTGGGAAACGTTCCCGACCAAAAAAAAATGGTGGAGACAAAATAGTTTAATTGCTAAAATAAGCAAACTGCTGGTTCTATTACCAGCATCTCAGCATAGTCCAAAGATTAAAGTTCTGTCAGATTCTGTCAGGGATTTACATTGACCTCGGGCTTGAGGCCTCCTGGAGCATTCAGGGACTGCTTTGGGACATGGAGCCTGCTTTTCCTATTGGCTTGGTGGTGCAAGAACTGTAAACTCACGCCAGTCACTGAAAGGCACTGCATACAGAAAGCTCTAAGTAGGACCAATCCCAAATAAAATTAGTTTTTAAATAGCTCCATCAGTGGAACAGCATCTTATTTCACCCTTCTTCCCCAAAATGACTCAATAGTCTGAGGAAACCCCAACCCTTTTAAAAAGATTCTCTGTAGGTAGGTCTGAACACAAACCTTGCCAGCCTTGAGAATGGTCTCCAGAAAGGGGAAGGAAAAACAAGGCTTAGGAACAGACCAGCTCTTACAATTTCTATTGCCAGGGTACACGGGGATTTCAGTATCATTCATTCTGACAGTGGCACCAGGGAGTCTGCACTGCAGATTTCTCGGCATCATTGGGAAACAATTATTGTCAAAATGTTGTTAAAATACAGGGCTAATTACATTTTTAAACAGCAGTCCAAGCCTTTTTCTCTTCTCCCTTTGGAACCATACAAAACAAGCACTCAAGTTTTTGCAAATGGGCCCCTGCATACCTTCTAATTCTGTCAGTCCTTTCTGTGGTCTTGCCACAAAGGAGGGTTATAGAAAAGATGGTGGAAGACCCGGCATACCCCAAGTTGCAAACCAGGAGGGACCAGGGAAATTCCTAGCCCTAGGAAGCCACTTGAAAGTACATTTCAGGAGACCATGAAGATCTGTTGGAAGAAGAACATGATTATTCTCCAGAGAGGGAAGCTGGTACCTCTAGTATATCTGTCATTTCCTTGAGGACACATTCTGCAGACTGGAAGAACTCTACAGAAATGGTCCCTGTTAGTCTTATGAATATCCACATTCATGCATCTACTCTGGCATATAAAATGCCTAGACACAGTGCCAGGATTTTATCTGGTGTAGAAGTGACATTAAACAAGTAAATAAGTTGGGATGTCTGGGTGGCTCAGTGGTTGAGCATCTGCTTTCAGCTCAGGGCATGATCCCAGGGTCCTGGGATCAAGTTCTACATTAGGCTTCCTGCGTGGAGCCTGCTTCTCCCTCTGCCTATGTCTCTGCCTCTGTGTGTGTTGTGTCTCTCATAAATAAATAAAATATTTTAAAAATAAAAAATAAACAAGTAAATAAGTCATAAAAATAGGGACAAGGGTTAAGAAGGAAAAGTAGCTATAATGTAGGGTCAATAACAGGCTAGACTGGCAAGTTAGGAAACCATTGTTTTTAAAGATTTTATTTATTTATTCATGAGAGACACAGAGAGAAAGACAGAGACACAGGTAGAGGGAGAAGCAGGTTCCTTGCAGGGAGCCCAATGCGGGACTCATCCCAGGATCCCGGGATCATGCCCTGAGCCAAAGGCAGACACTCAGCCACTGAGCCACCCAGGTGCCTCAAGAAACAATATTTTGAAGAATTCAATTTAAGCTGAGAACTGAAGAGTGAACATACATTATTGAGGTGAAGAGCAAGTAAAAGTGTTCTAGTCCAAGTAAAAGTGTCAGTGTTTTAAACTCTTAGATGAAAGAACTGAGAGGCCAGTGCAGCAGGCCAGCACATGTGGGGGGCGGGGGAGAGATGAGGCTAGAGATGGAACATGGCCTGGTAGGCCCCTAATGATCTTTGTCTATATCACAAGACTATGAGAAATTACAAGAACATGGAGCTAGCTAGGGAGGTTAATCAGATTAGTTTTGCATTCTTGAAGGATTACTTGGATGTCAGGGAAAGAATGGATAGAAGCAAGGCCAACAGGGAACATAGCACAAAACAGTGCAGCAGCCTCGATAGCAATTACTGAGGTGTGAGATGATGCTGGCTCAGGCTAAAGCCACCCATGGAGATGAAGAAAGTGGCTAGGTTAATTGTGGATTCTGGAGCCACACTCTACAAGACTTGTTTATGGGAGCTGGAGTCTTAGTGAAGGATAGGGGTGGGAAGGAGCTAGCATAGAGCACTTATTCCAGAAGTGAGGCCATGAAAGGGAGAGGGGAAAATAAGATGGTAGAAAAAGAAGCAGCAATGGCCAAGTGATGGCTTATTTCCCATCATAATAAACTCTGGGACAGTCTTCATAGCAGAGAAGTGACCAGTGAAGGGGGGGAGGGGGCTAAAGATGCCTGAATGGAAATGAGTGATTATAGCAAGACATTGCCTGAAAAGAGGGGGAGATTGACTTCAAAGACACAATTAGAGACACTAGATTTACACAGGATGAAGGAGTTCCTTATCTCTTGGACTAAATGGAAGATAGGAAAAGAGACCTGCCATCAGGAGTCCTGGGGTCAAGTCCCAAGTCAGCCACCAACTAGCCATGTGACCTCAACCAAAGCAGTTCCCATCTGAGTCTTGATCTCACCCTCTGACACAAAAGAGTTGGCTTGATTATTGGCTCAGGGTGCTCCTAGCAGAGGCCCACAACTCCTGGGAACTGCCTGAAGGGGCTACTACAGAAGGGGGCCACTTTCACCTCTTTTACATATTGGGACTCCATGTAAGATTTCATATGAATGAAACATTCTACAATCCAATAAATTGCAAACCATAGATCCAGGTGATATCTAAGGATCCTTTCCAGACTCTCAAATTGTACAGTTCTATAAAGAATATAGAATCAGAGATAGGCTCTGATACAGAGAGTCAATGATAGGAGTCATACCAAATTACCTGTCATCTCATCACAGAAAGTCAAGGTTAGGTGTCCTAGGAACCTGAAGAACAGTACACAAGATTCAAACTAGTGAGTCACCAAGAAGTCACTAAAAGATCACTGAGTAGTGCTGAAGCCACAGTGGAGCCTGACATCATAAATGTGAAGGCAGCCTCGCAAAATGATTTGACATATTTTTTGGCAGGCTGCATAGCCCAGAAGCACTAAAAACAGACAGCGGTGTGAACCAGGGTGGCAATTTAGCTAGGCAGGCAAAGTAGAAGTCCCAGGCAGTGTGTTGAGGGAAGCATTGATATGACACTGGGGCCAAGCCAAGAACTAGAAGTTAAGCCTGAATGATGAGGAAGACCCGTTGAGGGAAAAGATGGGGTTAAGAAGAAGAGCAGGAGGATGAATAGAGAAGGAGACTCTGGCCAGAATGTGGAGCAACTGACTTCAGCACCCAGTTGTTGAAGCAGTGCTCTGCGATGACAAGATCCATTACTCTCCAGTAATAACAGCTGTGGACAGTGCTGAAGTTGTGGTGTCAAGGAGGTTGAGTCAGATGTGTGTCAGCCTAGATGGTGACTGCAGTGCCATCTGACTTATGTTGGAGGCAAATTGGGACAATTCAGGGAGATACTGTTTCATATCACAGGTAGTAAACATATTGTGCTCATTACTCTAAGAAAGGGAGAAAGGCTGAAATATAAATAGGCCTCCAAGAAGTAAGTTAAGCGAATGAAAGGAGTTTGGGGAGTGTCTCTAATTTTGAACCTTAATATCAACAAAGAAAATCATGGTTCCCCCAGAGATTTGTCTTGGAGACCTGGGCAGAGAAAGTATCTCGGGTTGAAGCAAATTTAGGTCCAACCCAGTAGGATTGCTCTGATGGTTGTAAGTGTGAGTTACTTTCTCTACCTCCTTGCTCTTCTTCAAGAAGCCTTCTAAAAACACAAAGTAGGAATTGTACCTCTCTAGAACAATAATGATAGAAAAAGCCAAGAAGACTTCTAAGCAAATTTGCATGCCCCATTGGGGTTTGGAGAAGCCAGTGCTTCTACTCTTCTGGGGAGTCTGAAGTGGTTTAAAAAGCAGTAGGAGGAAGCATCTGCCACACATCAGCCAGCCCAGGGTGTGGAGTGGGGGGCCATGACACCAGGTCCCATGTACTCCTTAGTTTGCTTACTCACACAGTGAGATGGACCAATGTTCCAAACTCTGAGCCAGTGGTTATTTCCCAAGAGGTGAGACTGCTGAACAATGGGGTCCCTCTGTTTTCATGAAGTGGGGTCCTACAGTTGACTCCCACCTCTATAAAGTAGTATGGAGGAATCCAGACACTTGGGCTTTACAGAGTTCTAACCTCAGCTCTCCATGAGCTGGGGTTTCCCTGGTCTCCAGACACTTGCCACTTGAGCAATACCCTCTCTTTCTTAAGTAGGGGTGCTTAAGTAATGCACTTAAAGGGGGATGAACATTTCTGACCTAGTGAGCCTAAAATCATGCTCACAATCTCATGAGATTAGCAACAACAACAAAATCAGTCTTTGAGTATCGTGTCAAGGGTTATACATCAGGACTTGTAACTACATGGAAAAGAAAGTTCTGCCCCATTTACTCCTCTTTAGAATATGCCAGAATGCCAAGGAAGGTCCCATAACTCATGACTATGCTGGAACTAGGATCAGGACCTCATTTCCAAAAGCCATCTCAGTTCTGATCCCCCTCTATCCATGTCCCAGAGTCATTTCTCTGGGAGATATGATTTTAGATTTTGAGAACCCACTTTTGCTTATGACCCACTTGGCCTGAGAGGAAAGAGGACATAGTCTGCATTAAAGGACACCCCAGAAAGGATCACTGAGACATTTCTGAGAGAAGGCCTAGGGCTGGGCAGGCTCTGTAGACAGAGTCACGAGACTAAAGGCCACGGTCATCCACTTTGGTTCATGCCTAACAAGAAAGAGAGTCAACTGTCTGAAAGTAAGCCTAGTGAAGACCCTAAAGGTCCCCAGGCTCAGCATGGCCCTGCTGGGGAAGAGAGGACCCCAATTCCCCATCAACCAATTAGCATCTGGAAAACATTTGTTTCCCCCATTAAACTGTAGCTCTAAATAAAAATGCTACTCTTGCTCCTACCCCCACACACACACACATGCTTTGTTAGCATGTGATTAAACACTCCAGCCCTAGCAGGCAGTCTTGGGGATAGGAAAAGGTTATTAGCTAACGGTTCGAAGCAGTAAAGGCACTTGGCTAGGATTCTCAGTGCCCCAGAGATATAATTATCTCATGCACGATGGCTTTGCCACCTGTCACATTTTCTAGTTTAATTTTTTTTAATAAAAAATAATGAGAGGGGTTGTTTTCTTGCCATGTGACAAGAACTCACTTTGTGCTGAGCTGGAACAACACAGGCTCACAGCAGTTGCCTCCTGAACTCCTGCTCCTGTTTTCACTCTGCATCTTTGTCTCCCTACTGGTGTCTCCATCACTTTCTTCATCTCTAACTTGCCTTATGCATCCTCTGTGTGTCCATCTGAGCGTGGGTGCTCCACCTACAGTCTCTCCTGTTCACTCCCTGACACATTGCCTTCAATTGTTTTGTCTCAAGTACTTACATTCCCTACCCCTCCCCTTCTTCCCTCTCTCTCACCCCTTCTCTCTCTCTCTCTCTCTCTCTCTCTCTCTCTCTCTCTCTCCTCTTTCTCTTCTCCCAGCCTCTTCCTCTTCCTAGTTTTCCCTGGACCCTCTGACATGAACTCAGCAGCCTCAGGGCCTCTCTGGAGCATCTACCTTTCCAGTGGACCTCTTTCCCCACACCATGACCCTTTCAGTCACGCCTGCCCTGTGCTTTTGCCCAGAAGTCCTCCACATCTCAAGGCTGCACATGACTGTCAGCACCCTTTGTTTCTGTCAGGACCTATGGCTGTTCATTTAGGCCCCGTTACAGCCTTCAGGCCAGGACTGTAGTGGCCTCTCAGTTCCAAGTTGGCTCCTTTTGCTTATCTTTACCTCATACCCCAGCATTGGCCAGGCTCCTGTTCGGACAGCAGTGGGGTCTGTGATGACATGTTCTTCCCTGTGGCCTTCCTCTCCTCCATGGCTCTTGTCAAAGTGTAGCTTTCCCAACACATGACCTAACCTGACTTCATGGGACCTGCTATGCAGATGCTGTGTGCCACATGGTGCCCTGCCTCTCTAGAGACCATTGGTTCCACTTAGAAAATAACAGATTTGTAGACTTGTCAGCTGGGTCTGCCCCTAGTTTCCATGTTCATACACATAAATACACCAAGAGATGCTCATAAATAGAGTTCTCTCTCCAGAGTTGTTCTGCTTCACTCCACACATCCATCCGGCACCCATTTCTAGTCGCCTAGGGCCATCAAACTTCTCTGGGATTGCTGGACATCTTTTAAATGGAAGAATATGTGTATGTGTCACTTGATAATGTCTGGTTTTTCTCTTTCAGCCACCGGATTTCTAAATCAAAATTCAGGTGAGTAAAATGCATGTTCTTTCTTACATGCTCTTAGCTTCACACTAGCTTTCTCCCAGGCTACACTTTTGGGTAGCCCAAGGTAACACCTTCTAAGGAGGAAACTGCTCTCTTTTGTATAACTACCAAGAAAAGGCTTTTAGATCAGATCCTGCATATAATTCAGGTGTTGTTATCTGTTGCGTTTTCTTTGCTGGTCTTTTTGGAAAGCACCATCCCTAAGAGGTTGTGAGACCTACTGTGTCTTCCTTATAAGATGAAGTCTAGTTAAAATAAATATAATGTGAACACTTGCTACTGTTCTTGCCTACTTCATGTTTATGGAACACAGTAAGAAAGGAACATTAAGGATTATGGATAGCACATAGGATCATGACACTATTCTGCTTCTGCATCTTCCACGGGACCCATGGTCTTCAGCCTCTGGTCTACATTTCCAGCCTCACTTCCTGCCCTCCCCTTCACATATTCTTTGTTCCAACCACATGGAACTTCTTGCAGTCACCAGAACGTTCCCTGTCCTCTCAGATATCAAGGCCTTTCCATGTAACCCTTCTTCTACCTGAATCATTGTGTCCACATGTCTTCATCTGGAGAATTCAGGTTTTTGTTAAGAACCTCAAATGTTACTGCACCTACACCTTCTGCGAACTCTACAGGGAAATTGCTCGCCTCCTTTCATTCCTTTAGTGCTTTTCTCATACCTCTGTCAGAGCACTTAGCATACTATACTCCAATTATTGCCTCACAGGCTTCAATACTCTCTGCATGCCTCAGACAGATTCCTAGAGAGCCTAGCTAAGTGCCTGTCCAGGGGCTGTCCATACATATATGTTGAATGGATTAATGAATGGATTTGTGAGTGGAGATGTGAATTTTCCCCCACAAAGCTTGTACGTGCCAAAAATGCTGGTTGTTTATATTTTGTAATTGATCTAATCTTGCTCCCTAGCCTCACCTACTGTGTAGCAGGAGCATAAATAACACTAAATTTTAGTCCAGCTGGGTAAATGGAACCCAATGCTATGTATTAAATAGTCCCTGAAGGTAAAATGTTCAGTCTCTCATATTTTCACTTCTTAAGCTTTTCTCCAGGATGGAGTCTGGATGCATGGGGACAGGGAACTTCAAGATCCTGGGAAGTCAACAGGGCTTGGTGAAGGGTGCTCTTGGAATCCTTCTGAGTCTTCTGCCTATCTCTACTGTTTGATAATTAGTCTGAGCTTCTCTCTGAACTGGTCCTTACTGGGATACAGCAGCCCATCTAGTTTGGATATGCACCCCTACAGTATCCGTGGCCCCCATACTTGCATTTAATATTGAAATCTCCACCTCAGCTGTCTGACCTCTAAGCTCTGTCAGTCCACTGACTTCAGCATCTCCACACCTCATCTGAGTGCATGGATACTTCCAGGTCCTTCACACTTCATGAACAAGCTACAGGGAACGCAGAGCACTGTGGTAGGCTCACCTACCTATCTGCCTCCTGCTACTGTATCTGTACCAGCCTGGATAGAGCTCTGAGCCAAAGGCTGACATTCTCCCAAGAGCCTACAGGTCCCACTTACCATATTACATTCAGTGGAGGTTACCCACTAGCCTCAGTGTCTCTGGGCCTCCCCCATTACTCTCTGGGTATTTCTAAAGCAACCCTCTGTAACCTTTGAGACTAGGCACCCAGGACTGAGAATTAAGTGAGTACTCTGGTGTCTGACTTTCACCTCTATTTCTGATACCTTCTTTCTCCCATAATTCAATGGAATTGAAAAATGTAGGCCTTTCTCCCCTTCCCCTTTCTCTCAAGCCAAAACCTCCTTCATTAAAAAATCTAGGGTCAAGTCTACCAGACCTACTCCTTATTACATGAAAAAGAATTCTAGAAGTATAAAAAATCCTTTATTTCTTGATAATGCTTGGATTTTACTGCTTTATCTCTGGCATCTGTAGAAGTGGCTAATAGATAATGAGGACTGAACTAATATTTGCTAAATGAATGAATGAATGAATGAATGGTCTTGCCTCAGTAAGAGAATAGGCTTACACCGACTCAAACAAAGTATCTAATTTGACAACCAAAGCTGAGAAAGCACTTTGTGTTCCTGACAGTTACAAAGCCTCCACACAAAAAGAGTAGAGGGATATAATAATCCCTTTGAAAAAATTTCTAGGGATGCCTGGGTGACTCAGTGGTTGATCGTATGCCTTCGGCTCAGGGCATGATCTTGGAGTCCTGGGATCGAGTCCACATCGGGCTCCCTGCATGGAGCCTGCATCTCCTTCTGCCTGTGTCTCTGCCTCTGTGTGTGTGTGTGTCTCTCATGAATAAATAAATAAATAAGTAAATAAATAAATAAATAAATAAGTCTTTTTAAAAAAAGAAAACCTTTCCAAAATATCGTTCTCATTATATGCAAATGAATGAATCGTAAATGAACAAATGAATGAGTGAACAAATAGATGAACATGATCTGAAGGACTGGAAGAGAAACAACATCTTTATACACATTCTTTCTAGTGAGAGATTGCCCAGAAAATACTGGGAACATTCTTCTATCCAGTTGCTTATGGTATAATCCATGCTTTTGACAAAAGAGAAGAACAGCAGCCCCCCTAAACCTTGAGATTTTTTGCTAAGCTTCGAGACTCAGCCCCACCTGCTGTTTACTTAACCTCCTGTATTCCAGCCATTAGATCTCTGGGAAAGGTTTCTCCCTCTACTGCTACTATTCAAGATACAACAGAAATACAGAAAAAAGATTCTGTATTCCCAAAAGGCATACTACCAGTAGTATGGCACTATTATTCAACCCATTTTCAGATGAAGATACTGAGGCTGGGAGAGGCTGAGGGTCACTCCCATCTGGCCAAGTCAGAACCCATACGTAGGTCCTGTATTGCTAATCACCATGCTAGTTTAGTGAAAGATTCTGCCCAAGAATACTAAACCCTGTTTCTGCTCAGCTATTATATCTTAGGCATAGGCCCATAGCTCTACAGCAGTGCTGTTGAATAGAAGTATAATTGAGCTGCATTGGCACTTTTTAAATTTTTCTAGTAGTAAGATTAAAAAGTAAAAAAAAAAAAATAAACCAACAGGTGAAATTAATCTCAATTTATTTAACCCAATGCATCTAAAAAATGATCACTGCAGTATGTAAATATAAAAATTACTAATGAGATATTTTTTGTACTAAGTCTTTGAAATCCAATGTGTATTTTACACTTACTACATGTCTCAGTTTGGACTTGCCAATTTCAAGTGCTCAAGAGCCACATGTGGCTTATAGCTACTATACCAGACAGTATGGCCCTAAAAGGTCTGAGCAGATAGCAAATGATGGCCCTCTAAGATGCTACATCCCACTGAGGGTGTATGTTTAAAAAATATCAAAGTCTGGCAATGGATTGAAAATTCCATAAAAATTATCAAAGTAGACCTAGAGCTGCTTCTGTCTGCTGCGAAGGTTTCCACTACAGATGCAAGAAGAATGTGTCCTCATACTTTCTGCCTGTCTGTGTCAGGCACGATTGAAAAGCATAGTAGCATAGAGGGAAAATGGAGAGAGAATTTTTGCAACTCATAAATAACCTTATAAGCAGTGAAGAGCCTGTTTTACTCTAGAAAAGATTCTAAAATTTGAGTTAAAAAAATTAAAGTATCTTGATCATTTTCTCAGTTTAACAATGACAAGATAATTTGAGTTTCCAGCCAGCTTATTTTGCAATACTGAATGATACAAAGTCACAGCTTATTTAAAAGAAATTCTAGAAGAGAGACTTTAGGGGAAATTCAGCAAATTAATTGACATAATATTAGGGCAGTATTAGGGTATTCTTTTAATAACCCAAGTCTCCACATGGAGGAATCAGTCACAATAAGGATTTTGCAACACGTGGGGCTCACTGTTAGGAATAGGATTTAAAGAGCTAAGAAATAAATGATTTAGAAAGTCTTGTGCAACTTGCAGGGATTAATCAGATAACCTGCTGGAGTTTCCAGATCTTGACTTTACAGAAGTGAACGCTGTAGGGTTCTAAAATTTGGGAGGATTGTCTTGCCCCATCTCCAGTGAAATGAGCAGCCGGGACAAGGCATATATCCAAATTTGTCTACTCTCTGATAGTCCATTCTAAGTTACATATAGTATATAAAAGAGTTTAATCGTTTTTCCATGTTGCTTGTTCTCAGTTAAAGAAAAGATAGAAACTTATTCTGGCCACTAGAAAGAGCTGAAAGTGTCCACTATTTTGATGTTGTCTGCTCTTCTAGATGCCTGTACAAAATTATGTGCCCAGCAAACTCTTTTAGGAGTGATGCCCTTTCTTCACTCTCACCTTCATCCCTAGGTCACAAGAGCTCCACAGCTCTCAAGCCTTGTCTTCAGCAAGAAGACAAGAAAATCTGCATAGAGTTTGTCTCTGCTGTTCTCCCAGCCTGTCAGTCAAATATGCCTACCATGTACGATGGACTGCACTAAGTACTGTGGCTCTATATCAAAGTGCAAGACACAGTCCCTTCCCCTCAAGAGTCTTATGATCTCACTGGAGAGGCAAGAACCAAACAGTAAAACAGAGCTGACAATATGGGGAAATGGGAAGCCATTTCCTGTGTGTGACCTTTGTTGGCTTCTCCACCACTGGCTGGGAGGCCTTTTGGTGTGCTCCTATGGCACCTCTGCAAAGACCATCATGGTGCTAAGTACACTCTTTGATTGCCCACATGACTGTTACGCAGAAAAAAACTGTATCTATTGCATTGGCTGACGAATATCTTGTACCTATCCCAGGATAGGTATTTGATAAATATTTCTTTAACGTATGCCTAAAATGAGTAATGCAGAAATTCTGAGAAATGAGAAATGCAGGAATTCTGAGCCTGGAATGACTAGAAAAGTTTACCATGGAGAGGCTGGGACTTGAGCTTAGCCCTTAAGAATGGGCAGGACATGGAAAGGGGAGGTCCTGCAGTTGTGGGGACAGTCCACGTAGGTGGAAAGGCAAGAGCCTTTCCATAATTAGGAAAGAGTCCATAATTAGGAATTGGTAAGGTGGATCCCAGGGTGAGTTGAGCAGAAATTTCCCATGGGACTGCATCAATATAGAATTTTGAAGAAATAGATTAGGCACATTCATATCCACCCTTCTGTCCTATGTCTACATGTGGGAACTTCTATTTCTAAAGTAAATGACTTTTCTAGTTAATATGAAGGAAACATGAATAACGAGCAAATTTTTCCTCCCTATTTTATCATTTAATTTCTATATCCTCCATGCATATGTAAACACACAAATAAATTTACACATTCTAATAAATCATTACATTTATTATACCGTAGGAAGAGTTGCCAGGAAACCAGTTGTCAAGCAAAGCTATATTTTGAAGAGTGGGAGGTGTATAATTATCTTTAAATACTTTCTCTGGATAGTAATTACCCCCACCCCCACCAGCCCAAAAATGTGACTCCCCTGAATGGCTGTGCACAGGAACAGCACATTTGACAGCTACTACCCTGTCTCTGACAGCCACTCCTTCAGGGAGTCAGGCAGTTCCAGACCCATCGGACAGGCCTGGCCACGTGACACCCCAAGTCCCAAATTTGAGAAAAGAGTAGCTTAATCAAGTTCACAGTACTAACCTGACTTCAAGTCCATTTCTACTTATTGTAAAAGAATGCACACTTGATTCCTTTGGACTCCAAATAACAATTATCCGTGACTCCTCTCACATAAGATTAGATCTATTTAAAACACCCTTTGAAACTACAATGTAAGCTATTTAAAGTCAGATAGAGTTTGTCCTGAAATTTCATTTTTCAGGGAGAAAATAGTCATACAAAATTTCTCTATAGTATTAATAACCACAATGACAGGAAAGAAGCAGTGTCCTGCCCTGGCAAGATAGGAATCCTCACTACCAAGACCTGGCAAATTCCAGGGGAGGCTGAGGACTGCCTAGGACCCCTTGTCCCATCCTTTGCCCCTCTCTTCACCTTCCCCCATCCTCACTCTTACCCATGGTGGTTTGTCTGGGGGAGGAAAACCTCCTATGCATTTGGAAACCTTAATTTTCTGACCCTGATACATTTCTTCTCTATGTAGTGAATTAGCCCCACATAGCAGGTAAGTGTCCCTGTCCCTGACAAGTTCCAGCTTCTCCATAGCATAGCACTCACTGGAGATGGCATTAGAGCACTTCAGTGAGTTAGGGTCAGATCAGAATATTATTTGATTAATTCTTTTTTCCCTCCCTGTCCTGCAAGCCAAAAGCTAAGTTCTCCCTGCTGTTCCAAGGAAACAGTTTTCTTCTTAGATGTACTGCTCACGTTTCTAATCTCATAATAGATGTTAACAAAGATTTGGTAACAGGATTTTCCACAGATAGCAGGTAGAAAATATAGATAAAGTCAAGTGATCTGGAAAGGCAATTCTGGGGGTGAGTGGGGTCTGCATTTCTGGAAACCTAAAATAGACCTGAATACAGATACTCATGGACTGTTGCTCTGAGAAGCTGCTTTGTTCCTCCCCCTGCCTTCTTTATTACCCAAACAGGGGCTCTGCCTTCCAACTGCCTGCTGGGTCTCTTTACATACATGACCACAGGCCTACTTCCTGAGCTGAGTGCCCCTCCTTTCTCCTCATAGCAACCTCCCTGCCCAGAGCACTGCTTCTCCTTGTCTGTACCTAAATTGGTTACAGGAGCCACTCTTCCAAATTGCCTCAGCTAGAAATTTTAGCTATCCCTTCCGTACCTTTCTCTCTTACCCTCTACATCCAGTCAAGCTCAAAGTCCTATTGATTCTGCCTCTAAAATGGCATGCCAACTCAGTGTACTCTTTTCCATTAATAAGGCTACTGTTTCATCATCTCCAGTTCAGATGGCCGAAAGAGCATTTCTCATACTTCCCCTGATCTAGACATTGTTTTGTTGGTTGCTTGGTTTTCTAAAATCAAATCCCACCAGTCTCTTTTTGGAAATCCTCAGCTTGGCCTCTGTGGTCTCCCTCCCAAGCACCTCTCCAGCATCCCCTTCTTTCTCTCCTTTATTGCTACTGTCAGTATTAAATGTTTGGTCAATGGAATTACCAAACATAGATATGTAGTTTTTGCTGTATCTAAATAGGATGAAATTAGGGACAAGCTATAAACTCTTCCATCATAGAATTTTAAAATGTGAGTGACTCCTTGGGATCATCTAGCTTAATGGTTCTCAACCATAGTTACAGATTAGAACCACCTGGGGAGCTTTAAAAACTACCCAGCTTCCAGAGAATCAGATTTAGTTGGTTTGGAGTTGGAGCCTAGGTACTGGTGAGGGCTTATGGGTTTTTTTAAGCTTCCCCCCAGTAATTTTATGTACAGCCAGGTTTGAGAATCACTGACATAAATCCCTAACCAAGAGACCAAAGCAATATTATATGGACCATGGCCAAGCTTCCAAGGGGCCGTGTGCTGCATGAACTTATATATAGAGATGTGTGTATGTGTGGGTATGCTCATTTTTTCTGAACAAAGGAAGTAACCATTCATGAGATTCTCAAAATGTTCTATAATGCCATAAAAGCAAAGAACCTCTGATCCAGATTTACCCATTATACTTTATAGATAGGTAGCATCTGGGCAAGAGACTGGGCTGAGGGGAGAAAACCAAGTTTGGCTCTGCCACTGTGTGGTAACAATCAAGTTACTCAACCTCTGTGGTCCTTAGTTTTCTCATCCTCAAAATCAGGGTAACATCTGCTTTTCAGGGTTAATTAAAGAGAAGACATGAGAAATGTCTAGTACAATAACAAGCATGGATGAGGTTTCATTAATGGTAAACATTAGTAGTCCTACTACTACCATCACTACAAATAATGCTCTTAATTTGTACAATACAATTTTGAATAATGTCATTATTATAAAATAAAAATACACATTAATACCAGATGCATTTATATGGTATTTTATCAATCCCCACAACAACCCTGTGAGCTTGGCCCTATTCCTATTTTATAAATGGAAGAACCAAAGCTTAGAAGGGTCGGGGCCACACACACCCAAAACCACATAAGTAAGCAGAGCCCAGTTCACCTGACAGGAAGCTTATCTCCTCACCACCAGATTGCACCGCTCTGCTGAGGCCAGGTCCATTAAGGGGAGAAAGGAAACCATGATGGTGCCTTTCAGATTAGAAAAACACTGAATTTCACAGCCACCTCTGCCTCCTTCTTTCCTTCTCTCCTTGCTCCTTTTCCAGCCGCTACTGGCGCCGGTGGAATCGGTTCTGCAGAAGAAAGTGTCGTGCTGCAGTCAAGTCTAATGTCTTCTACTGGCTTGTGATCTTCCTGGTGTTCCTCAACACACTCACCATCGCCTCAGAACACTACAATCAGCCCCACTGGCTCACAGAGGTCCAAGGTGAGAGGCTATCCCTGGCACTATCCTGCCTTACTCTTGCTAACTCAGCCCTGAACCCTAGGGAGGAAATAGTCACAGGCACAAAGTTGATGGGAACACCGCCAGTGGCTGTGACTCTTTGCAGGCACCATGCTGGGGACACGAAGGGCCTGACAGCTTGCCAGCCCCATAGTAAAATGCACAACTTCATTGTAAACCGATGTGGCTCATATGGCTGGACCCATACAGTCTGCCTATCCCAACAGTCACTGCCTGTCCCAACAGTCACTGCTGGTGACAAGGACACATGCTGCCTCTCATTTGGCCATCTCGGGCCCTTGGCTGCCAACTTCCCAGATTGGATTTTCAGTACTTCAGGCCTTACTATATAGCCTTCAGGTAGGTCTGCCAGAACACGTGTGGATGAGGTGAGCAAAAAGCCAGGAAAGAGGACTGTCATGGCCTGAGCATGAGGAGCTGTTCTCGATGGGCAGTTAATATCCACCACCCTCCCCTGGACCCCTAGCCAGTGCCTCAGTTCCACTCCCAGGGAGTCAAACAGATCCCGGTGCTGGTGGGCCTCCCAGTATAGAGGGTGAACTACTAAGGGCCTGGCTCCCCCTTTTGGCTGATTGATTTGGGCAGATTACTCACCTCTCAGAACCTCACTCCTCATCTCTGAAAAAGTGGCTGGGAAGAATAAAGATCAGCACACAAACCCTTGATGCGTAGTAGATGATGTTTACTGTGATTATAACTAGATACCCCTTTCCTGTCAGTTTGGCCCCAATTGTTCTGTTCTGGCAACAACACAGGGGAGAGGTGTCCTGGCTGGAAAGGGAGATGGTGATAATTACTGTTTCCTTTCTCCTCCTCTGTGCCTCCCTCCTCCCACTCCCATGTTGGGATGCTGCCCCCTTGCCTGAACCCACCAGACACGGCCAACAAGGCACTACTGGCCCTTTTTACGGCAGAGATGCTGCTGAAGATGTATAGCCTGGGCCTGCAGGCCTACTTTGTGTCCCTCTTCAACCGCTTCGACTGCTTCATCGTGTGTGGGGGCATCCTGGAGACCATCCTGGTGGAGACCAAGATCATGTCTCCCTTGGGCATCTCTGTGCTGAGATGTGTCCGGCTCCTACGGATATTTAAAATCACAAGGTATTTGTTTTTCATGTCCCTTGGGACCTGGGACTTGGGGAGAAGTTCTTCCAGAAGGCAAGAAAGGCAGAAAGGCCTGGGTGGGAGAGTAGCTGTTATTTCTTAAAAGGTCTATTCTTGTCTCATATATGATGGAGGGGAATTTTTCTTCATTTAGATGGCATATCATTTAGAAATTCCTTTGGCTGCTAATACCAGAGATAACTCAGTGGCATAAACAAACTCGGGATTTGTTATATAAACGAAGTGCAGAGGTGGGAAACCCAGGTAGCTTCAAGAAGTCATCAGGGACGCAGTCCCCTTCTGTCCTTTGCTTTGACAGCCTTAGGGCTGCCCTCCACTTCCAGGGTTATTAGGTGGCTTCCAGAGATTGAGCCGTCATGTTTGAAAGCAGGGAGAAGGCAGGGACCCAAAGGGGCACCCACCCTGGCTAAGTCAGCCCCTTTCAGAGCTCTTGCAGAGATTTCTCCAAAGGTTCTGTTCTTGTGGCCATCCCAGCTATTAGAGAGAATGAACTATGTGGTCCTTTTGCTGTGCATGTGCTGCCGAAAATGCAGTCAGGATTCCTTAACTGGAGAAAGATGATGGCTATTGTGCCACAGATGGCTCTCACCCCTCCTTCCACACGTTCACCTCCTCTCCATCTGCCTGTACATCCCCCCACCCAAAGACTGTAGCCTCCCCCACTCTCCAGGTCAAGCCATGATTCTCATGAAGAGGACAGGCACAGGCGGGGGTATGGGGGTGGGCAGCATGCTCCAGGACAGTAATTTTCAACTATGTTGAGACCCATTTGGGGTGGTGAAATCAATTGATTGGATCACAACCATCATTTTTCATCAGCTTTATTGAGATATAACTCACATACTATGTAATCCACCCCTTTGAAGTGTACAGTTCAGTTTTTTTTCTATATATTCACAGAGTTTTGCAACCATTACCACAATTTAGTTTTAGAACATTTTCGTCACCCCAAAAGAAACGCATACCCACTCATCAATTACCCCACCTTCCTTCCAAGTGGCAACTACTAATTTATTTTCTATCTCTATAGATTTGCTTATTCTTGGCAATTCCTATCAATGAAATCATGCAGTATGTGATGTTTTATGACTGGGCTTCTTTCACTTAGTATATTGATTTCATGATTCATCCATGTTATGGCATGTGTCAGTACTTTATTCCTGTTTATGGCTTAATAATATTCCATTGTATGGATATACATTGAATTTGTTTATTCATTCATCAGTTGATGGACATCTGGTTTATCTTACCTTTTGGCTACTATGAATAATGCTGCTATGAACATCCATATTCAAGTTTTTGTACTGTTGTACATTTTCATTTCTCTTGTATATATACCTAAGAATGGAATTTCTAAATCATTTGATAACTCTACATTTAAGATTTTGAGGAATTGTTTTCCAAATTGTTTTTTGAAGAGACTATACCATTTTGCATTCTCACTAGTAATGTATACAGGCTCCAATTTCTTCACATTTTCATTTTGCATGAAAGAATGAAATAGAATAGGAAAATATCAGAAGGCCTCACATGGTCATAAGCATTGTTTCAGAAAAATCTTTGGGACATATGTCTCAGTTGCAGCGTAATAGGTATTTCTCACTATGGGTTGTGGTCAACCTTGAAGGGACATGTTAGAAACATGTGGTAGAGAGGGGGCTCAAACTCTACTCCCCAGAGGTACAAGCTTCCTCTATAAGAGTCTCTGCTTTGGGAGCCCAGCTGGTAATAGGGACACTGAAACCATCAATTGGATTGTGTTGGGGATAAAAGAGGATGGGGTTGGTACCTTTCATTCAAAGACCCAGAAGTAACCACACCCTGCTCAGTGTGTTCTGAATTCAGCTGCGTGAGTGTCAGGGCTTGCAAAGCCACCCTTGGTTTGCTGTTCTGTTCTTGGCTCTCTCAGTGATGCCCCAGCATATACTCATTCCTGTGGTATTGTCAAGGGTCAGGGGTTAGTGCCAGGCCCAGGGACACTGAACAGCCAGAGGATTTATTATTAATCTAATTATTATCATTGTTGTTATTTGGAGGAAGGAGAGTAGAGGCTCTGAGAGCCACTGAAAGAAAATCTAAGACAGAATAAAATGAGCTGGCAAATGGTGGGATGGGAAGAATACGTGCTACGGCAAGTCAGGAACAGGAGAGAGTCCCTGGGGAAGAAGGTTTAATGTTACAGGATGGATTCCAAGAACATGCAGAATTTAACCCCATGTGTTTAACACTTCTCACCCTAGAAAAAAACTCTTTCTGAATGCCCTGAATATCGTGACATTACAGAAAACCCTTAGTTTGTAGTAAAAGTAGTAGAAATATAATAACAATTATTATTAACATGCATCAGGACTTTATCATCTGTAAGACAGGGTCAGAACAGGACACTATTATCATTATTCCTATTTTACAGATGAGGAAACTGTGATTTAGAGACTTAAGTCACTTTCCCAGGCCACAGAAACTGCTCAGGGGTGAAGCTGGGATTAAATAGCAGATCTGTCTGACATCAGGTTCTGTGCTCCTAACCATGACCGTGAACTGTGGAGTTGACTGCAAAACTGTCTTGCCATCTTCGTCCCAGAGACACGACTTAAAGAATTTTTACAAGTTGGTTCTTGATGTTAGGTCTTCTCTGATTCTGCTTGCTCCTCCTTGGGTCTCATGAAAGCTATTTTTCACTTGCAGTTTTCAGTGCCCCCTAAATAATTCTCAAAAGTCTGTGTGTTTGGGAATTTGTTTTTGCTTTTGTTTTTTAGATTCCTATAGAAAAGAATTCTTGTTCCTAGATATTGTCATAGCATCTTGAAGAGATTTGACAGTCATTCTACTTCTAATCAATAATTTATATCTAAGCTGAAACTATTGCCAAGAAGTCATTTTTTAAAATCTGTCTTTGCAGAGAGTGTCCTGTAGTTCCTCCACAAGAAAGATTGGTGGTATTTTCAGGTCTCTATAAAGTCTATAAACAGAATAATTTAATTATCTAATTGGAAGTTCCTTTGGCAAAGGCCATCATCTTCCTGTTTGAAAGCCTCTGACCCCTCTGGGAGCTTTTGGAAAACAACATAGAGTCTATAACTATGTGGGGAATCCCATGCCCCTCTGAACCTTGTCTCAAATATACTCTAGTAACCGAGACAATACCTAAGATATGGGCTGGGAGTAGACATCATGGTCCCTCAAGATGGGTCATCTGTGCATGGTCCTGCCATCAAGAAAGCATATTTCTCTCTCTTATTTTTAAACCTTTTGGAGAATATTTTGTGATATCTCAATATTTGTATATTAAGAAGCATTTTTTACAATGCATTCTGAACCAGTGATTTTGATTCTCAAACTTAGTTGGACTCATTAAGAGAACTCATGAAGGACCCACACTACTAGAGATTTTGACCAGCAACTTCCAGAGAGTTCTATGCTGGTAGTTCAATGACTTCACCTTGAGAACCCTTGCCTAATTTCCTGCTGCTGTCCTTTGTCCTCTTCCCTGCCTTAAAATATGGACTTTCATATATCATTGGAAATCTTGATTCTTTCATCTACACTCTACACTGTAGCCCCTAACCATGTTAAGATTGTACTTTTTGAGAATTCTTGACTGGAGAAACATATAATGATAAAGAGCTATGAGGAATTCAGCAAAGTTTTTAAATTATTTTAATTTTATTAATTCCTATACACCTGTGCACATTTGAAAAGTAGTAACTTATACACAAGACAGGCTATTTATTTAGAATGCTGTAATGCTTGGTGTATATATGGATTCATGTATCCCTTCCTATAATTCCAAGTTTCCCTTTCCTCACCTCACCATAGGTCCTGACCTGTGGTCTGAGTTTGGAATACTAACCTAGACCTAGAGTCTTCCACCATGATGTCAAAACACAGTAGTATGTCCAGAGAAGTTGAACAGTGTGTAGCAAGTATTTTGTTATAGGAGCTGCAATACCAAAGTTTTTGAACAGTTTCTTTTCCAAAAAAAAAATAAATACAAGTAAATTCAATATTGTTCCTGTGACACCTTCACCTTTGGCCATTTGCATTCCCAAATGCTTTTATGAACGAGCAAGAATGGTCTGGACTTCCCACTCTTTATGCTCCCTGAAGTCTTCAGTATATTACAAATATGAATATGATATGTGATGAAAGTGAATAATTAGCATGCTTATTTTTTGAGTGTTTTGTCAAAATCTGAGAATGCTTTCAAGAGTATACTATGTGAAATTTTGAAATAAGTGTGCTTAGCAACAGTCATCTTCCTGTTTATGTTTTTGCCTTAGTTGCTGATAGAGGTCTCCGTGTCAATGAGGTATTAGATTTCTATTCATTAAATAACATGTATCAAATGTGTATGTATTATGATTCAGAGGAGATATAAGGACATTTTAATGTTTAATTCTTATCACCTAGAAACTCAGAATCTAACCATGACAATAAAGTGTATACATTCATCTATATATAAAAAAAAAGAGTATACTATGTGTATGAATGCCACCCATTCTATGTCTCATTAAAAAAAAAGGAAGACTGGGAGCCTTGTACTCTACTGTAAATCAGTTAATTCCTAAGTGTTGATAATATTAGGAGTGATAAATTATGGAATAGAGAAGGCATGATTCCTGCCTTAGTGAGAACAGAGAGGCATCCACATTGCCAAAATCTTTGTCATCTTTGGGTACATTACCCATGACAGTGGGCCTTCCAGCCACATCATAGATTGAGTTCTTTCTCCTGAGTTGAGGTTTGGGAGCTCTTGAATGTTACCAGTTTTTAATATCAAGTATGTATACATTCTGTGGGGAGGAAGAAAGACCTCAGACTAAATTTGGATGTGATTCCAATCTACTAATCACATCTCATTTTTTATACAGTTGGTTTTTAAATGCACTAAAATCCCTCCAGCCCTTGCTTTTTCTCTCTTAAACCTTAAATCCCTTTCTTTCTTCTACTGCTCCTCCCCTGTGGCTCTCTTCCCA